GTTAGTCTCGTTAAAACTCGAGAACGGCTGGACCGATTTGGCAAATTTTGGTTTTGAAATATTTGTGGCAGTCCAGGGAAGGTTTAAACGATGAGAAATTATGGAAAAATTTCATGGAAAATCGTAATAGCTATAATTTTATTTTACCATACAAACTGTACCTGTCAACTATGTCTGTGTAGCCTGTCAAACACTTTATGCGTGCGTTCCGATTCGTCTAGAAATAATTTATATGGCAAAACAACGTTTGCCGAGTCAGCTAGTAAATTACATTTTTAACTTTTTCAAATTATTGTATTTCCAAAAGAGGCCCATATGGTTACCTCTGATGTAAGCTGAATAATTGAAATTCTATTTTTAATTTTAGTGCTACACATTTTAAGACAGACTAATTATAAAAATTTTGATAACATTCTCTGTGGCCGCGTCGTGGGGTTGTGGGGATCCCCATATCGGATAAAATGCTTGTGTAATCAACAAATAGCTGTTCCACAACACACATATCTTCTTATGCAGGTGACGTTTTTAAAAAACGGGGCAAAAATTAATTTCGAAAGAACTTTATGTTATTAACGCCGTTTATTATCATAATGAATTATCGACTGTATGAACTTGCATGAATTTATTTCTACTTCCGAATCCTCCATGATTAAACAAATCACTCGCCAGTACGCGGCGTCTGGTGGCGTCGGGCAACGAAACCGACGCCCGTTTTAATTTGGCTCATTAGAGTGAAAACTGCCACGCGTCCGGCGCGGCGGGAGAGCTGGAACGGTTAATCCGTCAACTCTATAATTCGCCCGACCCAAATGTTCCCATTACGTCCTAACGGTGGCCTCCCTCCCGTACGGATCAATCGTGGACCACGACGATGCCCGCGTAATGTCGTAAAAGCGAAATTAGTTTTATTTCTTTAAAAAATAAAACTACTCCCGCTGGACTGTTAGATCCATGTTGCGCTAAATAGCTTAGTTTTATTTCTCTTTTAAAAAGAACTACTCCCGCTGACTGTATCCGTGGTTCTCTAAAAAGCGAGATTTCAAGCGAAGAAGTCACCCACACAGTACGCCGACATTCTGGACGGCTATTTGTTGGACACAAAATGCTGGCTCTCGGGCGACTTAGCCACAAACACAGGTTTCGGCGCCAGATGGCGCGGTAACCAATTAAGCAACTGCCCCGAATTTTGTGCGTGTGCCCGCTATAGGCGGAGTTACATAAAATTTTGTATTACTTTTATGCTGTATTGTCGTCGTGTGACTAAGGAATTAACTGTTTAATTTTCAAGCTACTGGTAAATAAATCTGCTTAGATGAAAATGATTGTTCCCTGGTAAGTGACGTGAGTGTTCTGTTACAAAAAAATAAGAGGCCTTGAAAAAGAGCCAGTACATAAGAAGAAAGAAGAGATGTGTTGAAACAATTTTTGATGTTTAAGTGCGAAGAATAAAAAAATAGGTTTTTTAGAGAAAGATGAGTTAAAAGAGTTTTATAAATTTTGCAAGATGGGGTGTCTTAGTTTTGGACGAATTTACTTCATATTATCTCTACCTACATCCATGACAAAAAAAAATCGAGTTTAGTACTTGTATTAAACTCTACACATTATTAAAGTAACGTTCAACACTTGTCATTGTGACGATGTACGAGTAGAGAAGATATGGCTGAATGTGATTCAACAGTTTGAGACCATCAAGTTGTGTTTGAACTGTAAATGAATTGTCTGAAATCAAAGTTGACCTTTGAGTCGGGGCAAAGATCGAATATTATGCGTTTGTTCCAACTTTACCCGAACTTGTGCGTACTCATCTTGTAACTTTCCCAAGTTCGCAGGACATAAAATTGAGCTTAACCATAGCAAACCGAGATTCCCGAGTCATGTCCCAAATCTCGGCTCTCTGCTTTATTTATACAAGTTTCAGGACCGTGATGAGGAAATCTACCGGATAGCTGTTTCTTTTACATCTTATTTTTGTGAAAAGTTGTCAAGCGTGCAGGCAGTTCACCTGATGTTAAGGGACCACCGCCGCCCATGGCATCTACGACACTTGAAGACTTGCAGATGTGGCGACACCTTTGACAAGATGGGCCCCTCTACCCTTATCAGACGAAACGCGAACTTCCCGGACGAGCCTACGCATTCATGATGAATGTTAGTAGAATGATAGTAGAAGCTGATTTATGGCCCAGCATGACAGTAACCCCCCTCATATATGGGGAGCTGACCAATCCTTGGGCTCTATTCCACCTGATTACACTGTTACCCATAAATACGGAGTTGTGACCTTCAGTTTTATATCTTTTGCTTAAGGCTGCGCCCACTAGAAAGATCTATAAAGAAAAGCGACACATTCCATGACGTCTAATGAAATTTATTCACAACGAAAAAAATTTACAAATTTATTCACACGAGAGAAAGGGACAACGATTCAATTATTTATGCCTCGCCCGTTTATTCGGAAGGGATGCGAAAATGAAATCGATTAAATCAACGCGACTGGACTTTCTATTGAAACCTTTTTTTTTATTTAATTATTAGCTTAGTTTTGTTACTACACATGACTTTTTGCGATGAATATAAATGGTTATTCGTTGATAATACAAATTTTCTTAAACGGCCCATTTTATTTAGAATATGCCTGCGTTGCTGTTTTATAAATTTCTAGGACGCAGTACGCGCAGACTAGACTAATGGAATAGAACCCAGCAGTGCGAACAGTTGGCTAAATGACCGAGCTATGCGCCTCCGTGCATTCAAGCTTCTAATACAATAAATTACGAACGATATATCATAGAGTCTGCAGTCGTAACCGGTCGCACGACCCTAATCTTTCTATGGCGACGCTTGCTACGTAATGGATGACGTGGCGATATGTCGTTTGCCCGCGTAAAAGGGTGATTTATCTCCAATCCATCGGCGGGGCACCGAGTGAGCTCCACGCGTAACTGCCTGACAGCACTCGAGCACACATTCCGGTATACTTTTTCTTTTGTTACACTGTGAACGCAATGTCCGTTTTTTATCTGTGACCACCGCGCCCTTTTGCAGGCAGTCGACTTATAGTCTATGTTCTGTATACGGTTTCTGACCGGCACCAAAATGTACACGACGCTACAAGCTATGTTAGAAGTTAACTTTTATTTTCTGTATTTTTTAAAAAAAACATCGCCTTTACTTTAGGATAACATCCTGCGGTTTAAGGAAGTTTTACAAACAGAAACTCCACGTGGACAAACATCCAGATCCGAAACAATTGTCTGTGGGTCAAACAATTTGTTGTCCCGTTTAGAAATCTAACCCACGACTCGGCGCCGAAGCCAATGCCTTGGCAACTGTGCCACGGAGTTATTTATATATTTCTGCTCCTAAATAGAAGGTTTGAAATTATATAATTCAAGAAACAATTAAAAAAAGACAAATTCTACATTTGATTAAAAAAATAACATAAATACAACCGAAAAAACATTTCGTAGGTAATATCGACAAATTAAAGCAAAAAGTTGTGTACATTAAAAAAGGGAATCACAAATAAGATTGAATTGAACTTTTACCTAACTACATCTAGAACATAACACGATGTTTTGACATAAGTTCATCCTTCGCTTCTATGCAACGGCGTTCATGTCCCTGACCGATTATTTTCTACTGTCGGGCTCTTTTCCACGCGCGCTGCCTCGTTGTTTGCCTATTCAATTTAAGGAGGCACTCCAACACTTTGACGAGGCTAAACTTAACATTCCCCGCATACCGCGAGCGCGCGACCTGGCAACGGCAACGCAACTCTCCCTCTTAAATTCCTCTTCCAGTTTGGACGTGTCATTGTAATAATTAACGCGGAAATGCTCACTAGAATTCTCCGCAGTTTATTCCCGCACGACATCCAATAAATGTAAATAATTCAAAGATATCGTATATGATTAAGCACGTAACATAGTTAAGAATAAGTGGAAATTAAAATTTGTAGAAAGATAGGACGAAAAGTTTTTCGTCTCAGCGAGAATCGAACCCGCGTCTTCCGTTCAAATGGTTTTATCTTAAATGAATTTTAAGCAATGCTTGACACGTCTATTGTTATATTCTTTACAGCATACAAACAATTTCAAATATCGTTTTACAACGATAATTCGAACGGGAGATGTGGCCATTGTTATTTTTTCTACAAATATTAGTGTTTCATTTCAAGTGCAGAGATTACCACTATAAAAATTTTAATAAGTGAAAGCATTTGTTATAAAGTAGCAAACTAGTTAGTATAAGCAAACCTTTGTCATAAACTACTACAACAGTCTGAAGATTTTAACTACTCTTACGATTTTCTTACAATGAACTGGTTTGACCGTTAGACGTATTAAAAATGAAACCCACGAAACGCCTGTAATCCAAACTTGTTTGTATTTAGCATAGTTGAAAATATCTCTACATGGATAAGTGACCGTTACATTAACATGCGTGTGTTTCCTAAAACTCGGTCTGTTATACGTCTGTTCAGTTACCGACAGGATAAAGCTGCCCCTATATCTTAAATGTAGTATGACTTTTTTTTCTAAGAGGCGAATAGGTATGCTATGTCAAGGAGTTGGCTGCGGAAAAGGGATAGATGGATTAACGACGATGATTTTGATAGGGTTTTCTTCAGTTTCTACAATTGCATGAATGTGCCCGCTCGTGCTGGCAAGTATAAGCTCACAGAACGCCGGCATTAAGCGGAACAGAGTGAGGTAAAGGAATTTTAGATGTCAATGGGCGATGGACATCAATTTCTATCGGGCGAACTTCCTGCTCGCTTGCAAACATTTCAAACTAGCTGCTGCCCGCGACTACGTCTGCGTACAATAGGCTGAAGGATACATAAAAATATGTATATAAACTATAGCCTATGTCTTATTCTGAGGTATATGCTATATTATTGTAAAATTTCATTAAAATCCATTCAGTAGTATTTGCGTGAAAGAGTAACAAACATCCATCCATACATACAAACTTTCGCGTTTATAATATTAGTAAGGATTACTAAGGATAAGAAAGGCTTCCCGCCATTTTTGACAGTTCATTCGCATCAATACGGCTGCCCGGCACGTCTGTGGGCTCCGTGCGTTTCCAGCAGCGATGGGGTTAATTGAGACGTCACGGCGGCACTCTGCCCGCCCTACGGTGCCCTTCCGCTCAATTAGCCGCGCCCGGCACCGCCCGCAGATGCGCCCGTCGGCCTTGATTAAACTCTGATTGCGTACCGCCAACCCGCCGGAGCGACGGCGTTGACGCCGAACCGAGCGCGTCAGAAGTCTCCGATAGCGTCGAGAGATCTCGACGTCATCTGCCGGCGTCCCAGTTGCCGCTTCCGAATGCGGCTCAGGTGACGCCATTAATTTTACGTTTAGAACTAAGTTTCCAGTTTGAGCGAGACGAATCGAGATTTTGTTGCGATCACCGTCTAACAATTAATGTACATGAATAATACTTAAGTAACGTTGTAAGTAGCGGAGAAATACCACGTTACGACGGTCAAATTGTTCCTTCCAACCTTACCTTACAATTTCTGACACAGTAAGTTTTTTTTTTACTTTTGTTGCATGGACTGACTTTATATATATTGTCGTTACCATAGTGTTAGTGATTGATGAGAGGGACATTGAATCTTAACATTTTTACACTACAGCTCTAAATATTTTTTGTGTAGATCTCGTCTGATAAAGTCGACACACCGTCCATCACGAGATGGACGGTGTGTGGTGTACGAACCCATACCCAAAACTCCCGATTACTTTTAGATTGAGCTAAATAATAATTACAATGACTGGAAAATTGCAGCATAGCGGACGATATTAACGCTTAGCAAGTGGAAACTTCGTGCTGTGGGTTATAAATTTTATAAAACACGCCGCATAAATACGGAGTCATCACTACAAAGTAAGCACACTTTTCTTAATTTAATTTACAAATAGAACCGTGTGTAAGCCGCGGTCAATAGCTAATTGAAACGACCGTAGAAATTCGCGTAAACAGTTATCGCTGCGCTGAAAAATTTAAAACTACCCCGATACTAGTTACAGCGACCCGGAAGGGAGGCGTAAGAAAAATAGAAACAAATAAATTATTACCCAATGCGCGTAACACGGCAACGGTGTTTCGAAACTCTCCCCTCGGCTCGGGGAGTTTTGAAGTTCGTCTTACGGCAGAGCGTCGTAACTTTTCGCGACACGCGGCGACCTTTGATGTGACGCAATGTTGAGTAACCGCAACCCGCGATGCCGTAACAGTTGCCTAATGTCGGCTAACGATTGAACTTTCAAATTTTCTTGTTCCTGACGTTGTATTATTTTCATCTCTAACTCTGTTGTTACATCAAGTAATCATGTATGATTAGTTTAAGGTGTATTCGGCTGATTCTGTAAATCGGGATATTCTGATAATCACAATTTTTATTATGAAATCTTGTATATAAAAATGGATTGCTGTTTTTTTTTTCATGTGAAAAGTTGCCAAACGAGCAGACGGTTCACCTGATTTTAAGCGAATACCGCCGCCCATAGACATCTGCTACACCCGAAGGGTTTGCAGATGCGTTGACAACCTTTTTGGAAATTGGGCTCCGGCTACCTCACTCACCAAACGAAACGCGAAAGTATTTGTCATACTTCCACTTTACGCCGGTCTTCTGCGAGGTCGTGGTACATACCCGGACGAGTCTCCCCATTCGTGTAACAGCCGAGGCTGCTGCGTGGGTCTACCACCGTAAGTCTCGCTAAAACTCCAGAGCGGCTGGACCGATTAGGCTAATTTTGGTTTTGAAATATTTGTGGCAGTCCAGGGAAGGTTTAAAAGATGAAAAATTATAGAAAAATTGCATGGAAAATCGAAATAGCAAGAATTATATTTTCCCATACAAACTGTACCTGTCAACTTGTCAACTATGTCTGTGTAACCTGTCAAACACTATGCGTGCGTTCCGATTCCTCTAGTAATAATTTATATGGCAAAACAACGTTTTCCGAGTCAGCATATTTTTGCTCTGGTAACGTTCACCTAGCCGCCATCTTAATACGCTTCCCCACTTCAGTTGATTCAGGTAGCTGTGAGCGAGTGCATGTGTTCAACGCAACATTTCTATGATTGAGAGCAATTTCCCGCCTTTTAAGGATTATCAGAATTACCCGAACATTCGTAATAAAGAAACCTAGAAAGTTATTTAACTACGGATTTACCCCATAGTGATTGTCTGTAATAAAAGTCAATGGTTCTAAAAATTTTAATTCTTGTTTGTTGAAATGGATTAGTTTTTTTTCAAATTGGAGTCTTTAAGGTCCACCTAAATATTTGGCTATCGAAGATGATGTGTTAAGTAAATAAATAGATAAATAAAGCATACAAAAAAAAGTCAATTTCATTCAATTTAATTTTACCCCAACACTTAAGAAGAAGAGTGATTATTCGGCTTCATAATTTTTGAATATAGCCAATTCTTTGGGAAGCCACGTTTATTGCGGCCTTGAGGGCTATAAATTCAAAAAATTTGGTGTCGTTAGATTCGTCGGTAGAATGGTAGTGAATTAGGTGTTTTTTTTAAATATTTTTTACTTAATTTTTTTGGAAAAAATTTTGCTAATTATACTAATAACCTAAAGTTTTAAAAATGATTTAAATGAATTATTCATTATTATAGATAAATTTACAAGATTGCGTTATCAAAAATGTGACTCGAATTGTCTGTAGTTTGCAAAAAGAGCACACTACGTGTGAATTTTTTAGTTAACCTTTCCAACTGGGTGACAATTTTTTTTAGTTATATGTTTTTACTCAGAACTCAATTATGCTTTGAATAATTTATGTTGGATCTCAGTAATTCCATTATTTTACATAAAACTTTGAAACATCTTAGTTTTTCACTTTATTTCACACACTATCATTTACCATGGTGCCTAAAGTTTGGGAACCGTAGACCGAACTTGCACTAAATATCGAGTAATTCCTAAATATAAATGTCACATGAGTATGTTTTAGCTACTCAGGGGATAGTAAGGAACAATATATTTTGTGGTAAATGAGGACGAAAAAGAAATATATTGTTTTGTTACAGCTCAGTAAAATTCAGTTTTAAATATCATTCAGAATTACCCACACACTTCGGAGTTGTACTTACACAACAAAAAAATAATCTAATTTTGAAATAATTTTATCGTAAAATACTGAGGATATTAATAATAGTCATTGGAATAATGTTTAAAGATGTATTTGTATATTCAAGTAAATTATGCAACCTTAGTTGATAGCATTAACGACACCAATTCTGACTGGTAAACGACTATTATCAAATCCTTTCGTAATTACCCGAATACACCTTATAAGATTATTTTCATTAATTTAATTCATGTATCTGTTGCTAGATTTACGGAAAATATGTTTCTTCATAAAAATTCATATAGAGTACAAAACTGAACAAAATGATTTCCATGTTATGTTCATAAAATTTATTTTAAAACTAAAATTAATTATTATTGTTTGCTCTGCCTAATGCGACCCTCTTAGTTTATGTTAATCGAGCAATAAAAGGCTACAATAAAAACTAACGTCTCAGAAAGAGACGTCATTAAAAATTCGCCCTTCACGGCTCTCTGAACATTTCTAAGCAAGTTATTCGTAAAATTATATAAAAATGGCGGCCGTAGCTTGTCTATCATTGTTAAAATAACGTCGAATCGTTTTGTTTACATCGTAAATCACGTTCACACGAGAAATATAATTCGAAATCGTGTTCAGTGATATTAAATAATAATCAAATATCTACGAAACGGTCCTCTGTTAATACGGTTTATTATTTCCGGAGCCAATTTTGTGCCATATGGTAAACTGAGAACTATGGTGAGCGTCGGAACCACTACACAATTTTACGACTGGCCGATGCTTAGGGAATCTCAGCTTTATGTCGATCGCGTTAGGACGCGATCTTGGTCGCCCGTGGGCCCAGGGACGAGTTCGTGTGCTGTCGCTGGTGTCGGGGATATTTTTACTTTTACGGGTCCCCTGCCCCCCCCCCCCCCCCCCCACTACCTCAGTCCCCGCACTTCCCGTTTCATCCCCGTTGCTTACGATGTGACTCCGATCACGTCCACAGTGTTTGTGGTTTTGGTAAGCATTTTTAGTCGTTCACCAGCCGATAAGCTACTTGTGTCGTTACGGGTCGCTGAGAACACGGTCCACACGTGACAGATATTCATGGCCTGCGGAATGCTATCGACTGGTGTTCGTCCATGTGCAGTTTACAGTTACATTAGAAAAAAAATTTGTTATGAAAACAAAATGTAGGACTAATAAGCTATTAACATCTCGTCAAGTATATTCATTATTATTCATTATTTAAAAGGTTGATTAAAATTTATCAATCAGTCAATCAATGAAATATCTTTATTCAAATAGACCTTGCCCGTTCTTATGACTAGTCAAATTTTACATAAGAAATTATATATATGTAGGTTAGTAAGGTACCACCGGATTGGAAAGCAGTTTCCTTTTGAGAAGAGATGCTCTTTTTCAAAAATACTAGTTTACAATATAACATACCGGTATAATAGTCTTATTCTAGCCTACGTGAGTATCAACAGGCGTCGTCGAGATATTCCGCAATGGCATAATATGCTATATAACTTATATTATATGGAAAGAATATTATAAAGAATTCATTGTTTATAATTATTAACGCTTTAGAAATTACTTACAATAACTAAAAATCTTAATGCGTAATTATTAAATGCAAACTCGTCTTCATCGAAAATAGGCGATTATCCTTTATAATTTCGCTTTGTTAACCACAAAAATAATTCCAATTTCGGGGCGACGAAAATATGGTTCAGCATGTTCTATAAAAATTTATCTTGACGTTCAGAATAACAGACGCACAAGAAAGCCAGTTAATGTACATGTGTTATTTAATGTCTCTCTTCTCTTTAATACAATAGCTATGTCTCTTGTCAGTGCAGCATCCATGTCAAATGAGTTATGCAATTCCCTCTATTTCTATTTCGTTTACCTCTCTAAACGACTCAACATTTATCTTCTTCTTAATCCTTACTAATATTAGGTATAAACGCAAAATTGTATGTATAGATGGATGTTTGTTACTGTTTCACGCAAATACTACTGAATGGATTTTAATGAAACTTTACAATAATATAGCTTATACATCAGAATAAGACATGGGCTATAATTTATACACATAGTTTTATGTATATCCGTCTTTCCTTACCCTATTCTACGCAGACGTAGTCCCGGGCAGCATCTAGTTTGTTATACATAGCTCAACCAAGGTCTCCCTCTACCCCGCTTTCTTTCTCTTTAATGTTAGCACCTTTGATCGTTTTATCCCGTTGTA